CCGGCCCCCGCCCCTCGCCCCGCCCCCGCCCCAGGTCAACAGCTCACCCCTGCTCGCTGACGTCTACGCCAAGGTGAGCCAGGCCCGGCCTGGGGTGGCCACAGTGTCACGGGGGCACCCGGGATTGACCCTAGAGCTGCAGCCGGGCCGTGCCAGAGGGAGGAAAGCCATGGGTGCCACAGCCACTGTGGGTTCCCACTGGCGATCTGCGGTCGGCAGGGCCAGGGTGAGCCCTGACCTGGACGGCCCAAGCAGCAGGGGACAAGGGCAGGCAAGACCCCAGCGCCCGCTGCCCCAAGGCATGGAAGCTGGGGGGCGTCGTCAAAGGTATAACTCAGTGTTCTTTAGTATAGTCACTTTTATCTGAGTCCAGAACTTTCCATCACCCCCAAAAAAAGCCTTGTCCCCACTCACAGACCCTGTGCTCTCCCCAGCCCCAGACCACAGCCCGCTCAGCGCCGTGCTGTCCAGTGTCCTCGCCGGTGGGCTCGGCCCCTGGCCCGTGTGTCTGGCGTCTCCCTCAGCGTCTCCCGTGTGTTCGGGGTCCCCCGTCCCCTCGTCGTCGCCTGTGTCAGAGCTGCCCCATTTTTGTGACCGAGTGACTGTCCCTTGGGGGGGACATTGGGTCCTCGCGTCCTCAGGCCACTGGGATCCTACTGCGAGGACCTGTGCAGGTTCTGGTGTTTTTGACTGTTTGGGTTTAGTGGCTATTTTTAGACAGGTCACGTGCACACAGTTCAGTTTAGAAAGAAGCTAGCGGCACCCAGGCACTCCAGGAGCCCTCCTGGCTGCCCTGGTCCTGTCTGGCCGCGGCCGCTGCCCGGCCCGCCCGGGCCTACCTGCCCGGCTGTTCCGTCGGCCGTCCGCGCTCCCCTGGGGTCCAGGTCATTCTCAGGAGACTTGGATTCTGCCGGGCTGGTGGGGTGGCGCCTGGGGAGGGCCGGAGGGCAGGCGGCAGAGGCTCTTCCTCCTGTCGGCCTGCGCGACGGGCAGCCGTGAGCAGCGCCTGACGCGTGGCCGGCCGGTGCCGCCGCAGGACCGTCCCGCGTCCTACCCCAAGCTGCACCTGCCCCTGAAGACGCTGCAAGACCTCTTCCGGAAACAGCTGCGCATCGAACTGGCCACCGTCGTCCATGTGCAGTCCGTGGACAAGGCCCCGCCGGAGACCACGGAGATCCTGCGTGCGGTGAGGGGCCAGCTTCGGGGGCCTGGGGGTGGACTGGCGATTCGGGGCAGTCTGGGCGTGGCACCAGGGAGGGGGTGCCCCCCCCCGGCCTTCCGCCCACCCTGCCTTGGGGCCGTGTCCCTCCCGTGGCCTCTGGAGTCTCTGCCCGGGGTCCTGAGGACGTGGTAGTGACCTCGCTCCTCCCTCCTCGGCAGCGGAAGGTCCTGGCCGAGCTGCGTGCGCAGTGGGAGGAGGCACTGGCCCAGGCTCTGCAGGTGGCCAAGGTCCGAGAGGCCCGAGCCGCCCACGAGGGCTTCCCCTCCGTCTTCCCTTACCTGTGCCTGCTCGGTGAGCAGGAGCTGGTGCAGCTGCTGCTGCAGGTGGGTGCGGGCGCCCGGGGGCGGGGGGCGGGGGGGGCGGAGGCTTACAGCGCCGCCCCAGAGCCTGCAGACGCTGTCCCCGCACGGAGAGTCCTTGCTGTCGGTGGCGCAAGAGCTGGGCCTGCGGGTCTTCAACCGCTACACGGTGCAGAGGAAGCGGCTCACCAAGCAGGTCGAGCTGCTGGAGCAGCGCTACCACAAGTACCTGCACCTGCTGGCGTCCGACACCCAGGTGAGGCCCACGGCCAAGGCCGAGCGGTGCCCGGGGACCCCCAAGACCGGGGCCCCCCAAGACCGGGGCACCCAGCGGGGAAGTCGGCGCCCCGCGCTCCTTCCCTGGGGTGTCTGGGTTCCCCCCAGCCCTGCCGCTTCAGTTTCCCTTTCCTCGGCCACAGACAACAGTCGTCCTCCCTGCGGGTGTGGCGGGGCGCCCCGCGCTCTGCCCGCCCCCACCTCTGACCCAGCCTGCTGCCCCCAGGTGGCGACACCCTGCCTGCCAAGGCAGCACTGGGAGGCACTGGGGCTGCCCGAGACCCCCCCCGAGCAGCCCTGGCCTCTGCCTGTGCTGGTGCAGCTGGGCAAGCAGCTGGCGGAGGTGCTGGTGAAGGCCATACAGATGCCCAACTGCCTGGCCACGCCACATGGCGACCAGAGGAACATCCCTGTGCTCTACCACGCCTACTCTCACGTTGCTGAGATTGCGGAAAGCCTCCTGGAGGTGGGCGGCACGCTCGTCTTGGCGAGGAGCATTTCTGCTGCCCACAGCTCAGCACTTG